AATTATACCTATATTGCTTTGCCAATATAGCATCGTTGCTAATTCTTTAAGTTTATAAGATTTTGCAGTAAATTGAAGATCAGCTCTGATATCTAATTCTATGAAAATATGGCAATTAATTTCGGTTGTTACAACAGACAACCACATTGACAGTTTATTGTAAATAATATCATGAAATTTCAATGCTTTCTGTGGAGCACGAGAGCTTTTCTGTATAATTATATTATGATTAGATATTAACGTTAATAATACTGTAAATATATTCTTTGGATAAATAATTGTATATTCTAAAATAACTATACGTATTCATGCTATTTAACGTATTAACGATAATAATTTTGTTAAAATTTATAGGCTAACGGCGGTATTGTACATGTTTATAAAAATTAAAAATACGCAGGAATAAATTTAATGCATTTATTCATTTAGAAAAAAAAGAATTTCTTTCGGCAGACTTACGCGTAATTTGATTTTGTATGTACTGTAGAATACAAAATACAATAGAATACAAAGGTTTTTTATCTTTTATAATCGTTCGTCGTTCCTTTCAATTATTTTATTTTATTTTATTTTATTATTCTCTTGCCAACTTCAATGCTTTCTGCAAAACACAAAAGCCTTTCTATATAATTTTATTATTTTATTCTTAAAAAAATAATAGTTTCATTTAATAGTTTCATCCAAACTTCAGCCAGACTATTTATTGCATCATAAGAAAAGATAATCTTGTGATGTTCAGTTTTTAAAATAATTTTAGTATTTTTATATAGAGATTTTAATAACTTTAACTTTCTTGATATACTTCGATGACTAGCGAAAATTGAAATTGCAAAGTAAATAAAGTGTAAACAACACGAAGGTGATAAAAGTGTAAGTGAAGCGTTTACAAAGCGTAAATTGAAACATCTAAACATAAAGCAAGCGTACCCGCTTCGTTTACATTTTATTTATTCTCCAATTTGAATTTTTGCCAGGGCCATTGTCCATAAACATATTAAAACATTTTTCTTATATAATGTGATATAACTCGTATATATATACCATTTAATTATCTTCGTGAATAATATAAATCGCAGCGATGGGAGTAATTGATTCGTTTTGTGTACAAGATTTTACTGTAGTATTCAAATTATTATATTGCTCCCATAGTCCTGAAAGTCGTCTACAATAAGCAACAAAATGACCTGGATATCCTGCAACAACACCTATCAGTCTGAAACATTGAAATCATGTTAATTATATGTGTTAAAAAGAGATACGTAATTTCACATGTAAAACAATTATACCAATATTGCTTTGCCAATATCAATATCGTTGGTAATTCTTTAAGTTTACAAGATTTTGCAGTAGATTGAAGATCAGCATCCAATTCTATGAAAATATGGCAATTAGTTTCGGTTGTTACAACAGACCAGCCACCACATTGACATGGTTTGTTGTAAATAATATCATGAAATTTCAATGCTTTCTGTAGAGCATGAAAGCCTTTCTATTTAATTACATTATAATTGGGCATTAACGTTAATTGCACTGTTTCATGCTCGCCACACTTATTGCATTTCTCCATTTGACGGGAACTTGGCATTGAATTTAATAGTTTCATCCAAACTTCAGCCGGACTATCTATTGCATCGTAAGAAGAGATAATCTCGTGATGTTCAGTTTTTTTAATAATTTGAGTATTTTTATACAAAGGTTTTAATAACTTAAACCTTTCTTTATACACTTCATGATTTGGGCCGTTGTCCATAAATTTGAAGATAAACTTAAAGAATGAGTTATCAGAAGTTTCGGCGATGGAAAAATATTCAGGATTATCTAAGATACTGGTGAAAATAATTTGTGCAAGAGAGTCAAAAGGGCAAGTATTTCTTAAAAAATACATTTTACCTTCAATTTTATAAGTTCCACATAAAGACGCATTTTTCAATAAATAAAGTTTTATGTTCTTAGTGACTAACTTATTGTTTAATGTTCAGGATAAGCAGAAAAGAACTTTGAATGAGATGGTTTATGTTCGAAATGCTCTTTTGTTTCTAAATCAGTAGCCTTCACTTGTTCTACCTTGATCGAGTCATTTTTAATTTTGCTGCTGATAAATAGCGTTGATTCATGATTGAGAGTTTTCGAACTCTCAGTAGTTGTTCCGATTATTTCACATGACGTCAAATTATCCTTAGAATTTAATAACGCTGAAATCGACAGATCTCCTGTGTCACAACTCGTATTAATATGTATATCATTAATTAATTCCTCAATGTTTTCATTATTTGATTCGGCATTCCAAATATATTCCATTCTTTCTTCGTTTTCATTAAATGAAAATATAGATTCGGCTTTTCCACGCCAGTTTTCTCTTGATAATAAATCTGAATCATTAAATGATCTAGAATAACAATGTTCCATCCTTGAATTCTGTGTATTAACATAAAATTTAGTTGAGCTTGTTTTTGCTTGAGCCGTAGTATATTGTTGAAAATCTTTTGGCTTCCAGGTTGGTACTATATTCTTATTCACAACAAAATTTTGCATTTTTGCTGAAAAACTTCGTGTACCCCTTATTAAATCACGGAGATGAATTTTGATAAAATTATCAATTCTTTGTGGAAGTGCATAGTTCTTAAATACTTCATTCTTTATATCATGAAAAATTCTCTCACAATAGCTTGTGGTTGGGTGACTTGTATAAAAAGGAATACACACTGCTGTCCAGAGTGGAAATTCTTTTGCAAGTCTTAACAATCGATCGATTAATTTAGGTAAATAGAAATAATTATTATTGGCGCCTTCCTGAACTACTGATTGTGCTGCAACTTTTATATATTCAAAAAGGTCATTGATTCTAATATTGTCATCGTTTACTTCGTAAGCGTCATTATTTAACAGATCATTATTAAAATCGGTAATTTGTAAATAATTATCTATATCAGTAGGACGCTCTTTTATTAACATCTCCAATTTTTTCCTTGATTGTTCAGGTGTTTTTCAGGTGTTATTTGTGGATCTAGCAATTTTAAATTTACGGTTGAATCCTCGTAATATTGAAGGCCAACAATGCACGTTAGTGAAAATATTTCGATAAAATCCTGATAACTTTGGCAGTCTATCATTAAAGCGATGCATCGAATATAGAAGTCGCGTACAGGACGTAAAGGATGATTTTTTAAAGCAGGCCATTGACAAATCATGTGGATTAAATATGCAACGTCAACCCTTATATATGTTGATATCCACTCTCTTGAAACATATTCTGCTGCGGAGACACCATTGAAACAAATTTCAACATATTTTTTTATGGTAATATCATTGAAAGCCTTTGAACAAGCCAGTAACATTGCTCTGGAATAATCCACGACCACTTGGGTTGGCTTTCGAAATTTGACCATACGTAGCCACAATTTCAACCAGTGTTCAATTGTCTCAGTTTCTTGTGATTCTGTTAGTAATTGGTATACTGCCAAAGACGTATTGTCAAAATGTACGGCAATCACGTATAGAAAAATATGAGCTGATTTTGTTTCCAGTGATCTCTCTTTAATTTTCTAACAACACTGCCAGTTGCGTCAATACTAATAGAAGAAGAATTTTTATGCATATTGTGATATTGATCATAAACACTGATTTGTTCACCAGTGCCATAACATACTTTGAATGGCACATAACTTACTAAAGCAATAGCACCTTTATAAGGATTTTCGAAATTTAAACGATAAATTGCCTGTATAACATCTTCGTTCTTCATTTTTGCGGAACCTAATTCTTCATCAATTGCTTCTTTCTTAGCATGTCGAAGTATATCTAATGAAGGTATTATTGGTGCATTAACATCTCCAAGACGCATATCTTCTCTCACTTTTCTTTTTCGCAAGTTTGAGCATCCTTCTGTAATTGCTGCTTTGCTTATTTGTTTCCGTTTCTCCCCATTTAAAGGACGCTGCAAAACTTCATGAATTTGACCTCTAGTATCTCGGGTTTTCACACGTATCCAAAATTCACCAGTATTGGCTGACGGTTCTGTTTCAACAATTCCTTTGAAGGTGTTACCACATTTTTTACTCTTGCAACTTCCGATGATCTTGATATATTTGCTATGAGAGGATACATTTATATCTCCTCTCACAAATGTGTATGCACAAGGCAAATGATGTTGTCGATAAAATGCATCAGCAATAACGTTAGTCCATATCCATGGTCTTAATGTGTGCTTGGAACTCTTGTTTCCGAATTCAAGTGGTTTAATTTGTTCCCATTCGTTTAAAGTCAATATTAAGTCAAACCAAGTGTAATTGTTATCACAAGTAGAATTGAATGAGGCGTCATTAACTGATTCATTTACTGATTCATTATTGCTTTCAGTAGAAACTGTTATGTTCGTAGATGGATCCAGTAGGTCAAAACCCATTTCTCCTCTTGCAAGAGAAAGTATTTTTCGTCTATCATATTTAACATTAACCCACCAGTTATGGGCACTCCATGCATGTTGACATCTCTTACTCATTTTCTTCCAAATTTGGTCCGAGTAATTAGGTAACTTATCACCATAGATTTCCGAGAATTCCTTTAAAATTGCCACTGCAACGTCAACAGTTAATTTAATTTTTCTTGGCATTTTTATAATATATAACGTATAAGTATCAATCGTATATATAATAAGATTCTTTTATTAAAATTTAATATGAAAAACTTTCTAAGACTTTATTAAGATATTGCAGTCTGTTCAACAATCAATATTTCTCTTTGATACTCTTTTGTTTATCCATGATTAAATGTGACAGGCAAATGTTATGGCGCCTTTTTTAATTTGGGCGTACAAAATTTTCGTTACTTGTCTGTATTTATAAATGAAAATTCTTTATAAAAATTATTTTTTATAAATAAAAGTTATTATTTGTGAAGAAATGAGAAAAAATTAATAATAATTTAATTACATATGTATAAAATATACAATTGTATACGAAATTATATACAAAATATCACAAAATGTAATATCAATTTTATTTAAAAGTACAGCAAAAATGAAAATAGTAAGTATAAGAAAAACATGAACTTAAAAAATTATCGATGTAACAAATTTTATCCTATTAACAAAGTATATACCATGTAAATCTTCATACATCTGTATTGCTTATACGTTAAAATGTATCAAGTTCTAAACTTCCAAGTATCAAAACAGAATAAAAATTGAGCACTCTACAAAGCGTCTAGGCTTGCGTGCTCCACAGAAAGCATTGAAATTTCATGATATTTACAATAAACTATCAATGTAGTGGCTAATCTGTTGTAATAACCGAAATTAATTGCCATATTTTCATAGAATTAGATATCAGAGCTGATCTTCAATCTACGGCAAAATCTTGTAAACTTAAAGAATTAGCAATGATGCTATATTGGCAAAGCAATATAGGTATAATTGTTTTACATGTGAAATTACGTATCTCTTTTTAACACATAATTAACATGATTTAACTATTATATCTACATACTATTAACCTACATACTGACAGTAATGTTTATTAACATGAGGAACGATTCATTTGTGAGGTTTTTGCAACAAGAATATGTCATAATGCAAAATTGATTGCTACGTTACTTATATGTTGAAATAACGTTATAAATAAAACGTTGTCCTGCATCGTCCACAGGCGAAACA